GGGGGGAAGCTATGAGAATGAGAAGGGAAGAAGAGGAAGGATGCAGAGGTCATGAGGGAGCAGAAGGGTTGAGTCAGGTGTAGATTAGAAGGGTATGTGATAGGTAGGGTTTTAGTTGGGGGGTGGTAGGGGAGGAAGGGAGGGAGAAGAGAACTGGGATTGTCATGTAATTCAATCTTGTTTGTAATTCAAATAAAAAAAACGATAAAAAAAATACTATCTTATTAAAAAAAAAAAAAAAGAAAAAGAAAAAAGAGCACTGGTTGCTCTTCCTTAGGACCTCAATATAATTCTCAGAACCACAAGGCAGCTCACAACTACCCAAGACTCTAGATGCATGGGATCTGAAGCCCTTTTCCGGGGCACACAAGTGGTTGACAGACTTACATGCAAGGAAAGCACCCATATGCATAAAATACTGAAGTAATTAAAAAACAAAAGAAGTAATACTGGAGCTCGGGGATAGCTCAGCAGGTTAAAGCTCTTGCTCTGCAAATGTGAATAAAGGAGTGTTGATCCCAGCACCCTTGTAAAAGTCAAGCAGACATGGGTGTTTGCCTGTAATCTTAGTACTCAGGAGGCAGGCAGAGGACCCTGCAGCAGGTGGCCAATTAGAGGGAGTTCCAAGTTCAGATCCCGTCTCAGTATGAGATGAAGAGTGACTGAGGAAGAAACTGAATGTCAACTTCTGGCCTTTAAATGCACATTGTGTGCCCACACACATGCAAACACACACATAAACACTCAAAACCAAAAGAAAGCCAACAGCAAAACCCAATGCTGTGGCCAAGCAGCTGTTCAATGGTAGAATATTTACTCAGCATGTGAAAGCTCTGGGTTCAACCCTAGTACCACAACAAACAAACAAGAAACAAAGAAGATGAGATCACAGGAAATTTTCATCTCCTGTGGAATTTTTGGAAAATAGGGTGTCCAGGTATTTTCTTGATTACCACACATCATGGAACCTCTTCTTATGTTATCGAATATGCTCACTCATCCCTAACAATTGTTTGGCTAGATGGAGCCAGAGAGCTGAATTACAATCACAATCTTTTCAAGACTGAGGTAACTGGAGATCATGTAACTCAGATACTATGTCAATTAACTACTTCCCAAAAGAGAAAGCGAAAAGGAAGACACACAGTAGGTTCAAAGTCATTACTGAATGGAACAAATGTCCTGGTCAATTAATGGCTGTCCTGGACTTGTCCCTGTCCCATTGGTGCTTACCATAGACAGCCAAGTCCCAGGAGAGCAAGTAAGTCAAGGCTCAAGGCTTCATGGGTCCAGGTTATGTAGTTTGCATAAGGCTTTCTGACCCCAGGGTCCAAAGCCAGGGATCTCTTGGCCCTGCTAGAATGTGGCCTGAATGGACTTTCCCTTTCTGTTAAGGACAATACTGCCTTACCCTGTACTGAATGCAATGGTTTGAGACTCAATTCTTGGCATAAAGCTTTATTTCTGCTTTTATAATAATAAAACAAGTCACAGAATTAGTCACAGATGTTATAAACCCAAGTGTCAATAGATTTTATTTTAACTAGACAAGGAGGAAAGGAAGACTAGACTATACTGGAAAAACAAGGACAATGTTTTCTGTTGTTGTTTTAGAGATAGCATCTCAGGAAACATAGACTCCCCTCACTATATAGCTGAAGATGAAGATGAACTGATTTTTTTTTTTTTTTTTTTTTTTTTTTTTTTTTTTTTTTCATTGGTTTTTTTTTTATGTTTTTTTTTTTGTTTTCAAACACCAATATAACACAAAAAACAAAAAAACAGGAGGAGTGGGTCACTAGAATAGACTGGCCTCCAACTCACAGAGATCCGCCTGCCTCTGCCTCCTGAGTGCTAGGATTAAAAGCATGTACCACCCGGATTTTTTAAAAATATTTATTTATTTTTATTTTATGTGTATGAGTGTTTTGCCTCTGTGCACATGTGTAGTGCCTATACAGTCCAGAATAGAGCACCAGAACCCCAAGACCTGAAATTACAGTTGTGAGGCCTCAATGGCACTGAACTCAGGTCCTCTGTAAGAGTAGCAAATGCTCTTACTGAGCTACCTCTCCAGCCTCAATGACCTCCTAATCTTCTTGTCTCCCTCTCCCAACTGCTGCGATCACAGGCATGGCCCACCTAGCCTAAAAAATCAATTTTAAAGATGTCTTTTTAAAGGCATAAAAGTTATTTTAGAATATAATTAAAACAAAACTATGTTAAAGTATCTTTTAAGTAACTAGGTATTATCAATTGAAAAGCACCTTACAAGGAACTCTGAAGATTTGTGCAAGACTAAACTGTATTAAAACCAATGACCCAGCAACATACCCTGACCCAAACCCTACCCCCTGGCATGACCACCCCAGGCCCAAGTATTATTTCTTTAGAGGATGCTTTTGAAGATTCAGGTCCCTGCTCACCTGGCGATACTTCGAAGTGGCCGATGGTGAGCAGTGGAGGATTTTTCTGGCCTCGGACAACTTTCTCCCCTTTGCAAAGCAGAAGGTCCCAATGAGAAGATAGGTAGAGTGGAATATGGCTTTGAGGGGGATAAAAGTGAGAATGAGCTCCAGGATGGGCAGGAGCAGTAAACAGATGCACTGGTGATGTCACTGAGTTAAGCTTACCTTTTTGCAACACTGTGAACACACCGGCCTGTGTACAAAACAAGAAATGTTACTTGGTGGAACACAATGGATGTAGGTGAAGCCAGGATTATAGAACTATGAGCTTCTTCAAACAATTGCAAACATTCTCTATCTTTCTGTCAGAATGTAGCAATACAAGTGCAGACTAAGAGACAATCTATAAAATTTAACTATTGTGTTGTTTCTTAAAAACAGGATGGACAACTGTGGTGGCTCATGCCTGTAACCCCAGTAGGAGGAAGCTGAGAGAGGGAGACTGCCATGAGCCTGAGGCCAACTTGAGTTTCAGAGAGAGTTCCAGGCCTACTTATACTACAGTGTGTCCTCATCTTATACACAGACAAACAAACAAACAAACAGGGTCTGGAGAGCCCACTAGTTAAGAGTACTTCCTGTTCTTCCAAAGGACCTGAATTCAGCTCCCTGCACCTTAGGGGGAGGCTCACAGTGGACTATGACTCCAGATCCAAGGGATTCATGCTTCCTGGCCTCTGTGGCACCTATACTCATGGAATTTCACTCACAGAGATACATGCACATAAATGAAAATAATAAAAAGCATTTTTTTTTTGAGACAGGGTCTTACTATGTAGGTTTGGCTGTTCTAGAACTTCCTGTGTAGACCAGGTTGGCCTTGAACTTACAGAGCACTTCCTACCTCTGCCTCCTGACTGCTAGGATTAAAGGCCTGTGCCATCACATTAACACTACCACCTAAAAATTAATCTTAAGCTTTAACAGTAACAACAAATCACAACATAGACTAACAAATAAAAAGGATCAACTTCTATTGGAATTTTATTAGTGTATCCAGGGGTCATATGATAGCCATGTTTTTGTTTTTTTTTTTTCCTGTTCAAGGATGACAGAGTCATTTTGCTTATGTAAAAGAAACAAACCAGGCACAGTGGTATAAGCCTGCAATCTCAGCATTTGGGAGGCAGAGCAGGAGGATTAGGAGCTGAAGATCACCCAAGGCTATGTAATAATGAGTTCCAGGCCAGCTGTCACATGAAACCTCCTCTCAACAACAATAAAAAGAAAAGAAAAAGAAGAAAGAAGTAATATGCAGAGTAACTTTTTTTTTCAGGTTCAACAGTAGTTCAACCCACTCTTGAAGAAACTACAGTGGTAAGACAGGCACAGAGCAAAGCCACAGAATGGGTCCTTTCTAATGCTACTCTCAAGTGACATGGAACAAAAGAGTAACTGGCATTTCTCTGTGGCTGTAAGAACTCTACAGGGATAAAAGCCTTACCTCTTACAGAACTGACAGGTGTAAGACCACGTGAAGAAGGAAAACCTCCGTGTTCGGCAACAGAAGCAGAGCTAAAAAATACAAAGTTAAAAGAGAAAGAGAAATGGGCCCAACCCTTCCTGGCTTCTGTGCTGGATCTACTTCCTGGTCATCTAGGGAATGTTGCAGATATGTCTGCAGACAGAAGACGATGACGAGAATCCAGAAACCCTACTTTTATGCTTTGCACTGACACATAACCCAGTTCTGTGTTTAATGACAGTTCTTCAGAAGTAACAATGATAACAGTGCTCAAGCATCTCATGGTCACAGGATCAATTCTGAGGAAAGCTAACTCCTGTTTCCCAGACATGCTTTCTTTTCTGATCCTTTGAAAGTACAACTCAAGTGCACATGGCTTTAGGAAGCCATATTCTATCTTTTTTTTTTTTTTTTTAATCTTTAAGGGTCCTTTTTAAACCTTTTATTAATGTTGGCAACAGAGAAAAAAAAAATCCCCTCTTGTGAATGAGAAGAACAGGGAATAGCCTAGAATATAAATACCTCACCATCTAAGACCCCTAAAGTCCTATATCACCTGGCTAGCATGCAGGCCTTTTAAGAGAAAATGCCTGTACAGTTCAATCCACTATTAAACAGTTCTACCTTTCCTTTTTTCAGGGCAGTGTAGACATCCTTATACTGTTGGTACTTTTCCAGCTCCGCTTTCACCAGGACCTGACGAATATGCATCACTTCCTCCACAGTGAGAGCCAGGCATCTCACTGGGTAGCAGAATTCCTCCTGAAATTCAAAGTGCCTAGTGAGTAAGGCGTGCCCGCCCTGCTCTGGGACTGCAGTGCTCCCTTAAGATCAGACACCTAGTTAGTAGCCTCAGAGGACAGGATTCCCATGATCACTGGGACAGAGCTGGCTCCCTCTGGGGACCACATCACTCTTAAGTACACCATAGAAAACAGGACCGTGATCGACTGAAATATTGCAGCCAATAAACCAAAGTTCCTCACATTTGATCAGGTATTTTTGCCTTTGGGAGAGCTATGTATCTATGGTTGAAATCTTGAGAAAACATGGTTATTCTAAACAAGTTTTGTGTCACAGATGATTCTGCAAATGTGTTGTGTGCTACACTCTACTAGAAATAAAGTAAATCTACAAGTTTGGTCCTGTTTTCAAAACTGGTTTGTGGTATCCAGAACAGCCAAGTGAAGGTGGTTAGTACTTTATACGGACAAGCATTACTGAGAGATCAGTTACATCAGCACACTTTCAAAACTCCCTGATGCTCAGAGTGGAACCGCAACAAGAAGCGGTAGCATGGACCGCTTACTTCCCAAGCTCATCTCTCCGGCCGCCCAGGTCTTTTCACCGACTGCTGGATGACATGCATGGAGACAGCCTCTCATGATAAATATTTATGTTGGCTTCTTATGTTAATGGCCTCCTTACAAACAGCTGTGAAAAATGTTGATGTAACTGATCTACTGAATAAGAGCCTTGAACCATCCGCTCTCCATCCGGTGCTGTTGATTGGTGGATCTAAGAGAAAGACAGAACGGCCCTGTACACTCAGGCCCTGCCAGGCTTCAAGGGGCCATTGTGGTGCATTGACACTGAAACTCAATGTTCTCAGCACACACATTACAATTCACTCCCACACGCCGCAGCACTGCTCCCAGGCATTCTGGAACCAAATAAGCCAAATGAGAAAGCACATGACCACAAGGGTAGGGTTTATGGAGTTTTAACATTCAGTTCTGTCTTTCAATCAGAAAGAAACAAAAATAAATCTAGGTTGCAAGTTTGACAAACATTAGCATTTACTAAAAAAACCTAGTTTGGCTCACTTTGCTTCAATTTAACACAGAATTGCTTACGCTAACTTAAAGGGCCGGTTTGCTTTAGCCGCTTTGGGAAGAATCCTGCAGCTGAGTTGTTAAGCAGCTTCTCAGCAGGTGGGGGCCAGGGTTTGCAGAAGGAGATTGCATCATTTGCTCTAAAATGCCCACAATGGGCATTCAGAAAGAGCCGCCATCACCCACTTTCCCTTTTAGTGGGAACACTTGCAGAGATTACAGGATTAGGCAGTGTGCTCAATATGTACTTACTTTGTTTTACCCGGAGAACAGAACAGTGTCATAGGGACAATGAGCCACCTTTGTGAAGGTTAGGCCGTTTAAGCGGGCTATTAAATTAGTGGTGCTGCCTGAACTCCGTCTTGTGATAAGTTTTCTTCTTCAATGTTTGTCGGAGAAGTTTTTCTAGCAGTATTTACTAAAAGGTGCCTGATAGCTAACTATGACAAAACTGCTAAACTGCAGCAAAATCCTGTACTAACAAATAAGCAAGCATTTGGATCCCCGGCTGTGAAGTATTGTCATGTGAGGAGAGACCACACACAAAACAAGCTACCAGCTGTGCTTCCCTCTCTGCAGTCTAAGTCACAAAACAGCTTACTTTGTCAAGATGCCTTCAACTTCCTGCTTTGAACCACTTATAAACACTGTAAGAAATCATGGAGTTTGCTTATTTTCTTATTCTTTTTAAAAAATTTCATGCAGACTGCCCCTAGTAAAAATAATTTCCATCAGGTAAAATGCTAATGTTTTAACTCTAGAGCTTGCCCAAGGACAACAAGACTTTAATGCAACACTGTGACTAGAATAGTTTTAATTGTTTTTCCATTTGACAATATTAATTCAAAATCTCTAAAGCCAAATCAAACTATAACACATCTTACACTCCAAGCCTGAGGAGCATCCTGGGTGCTGGGACAAGAGAGAGCCTTGCCCACCTGATCCTGTGTACCGTTTCCTGCCGTGGGTTCAGTGGGTTGGGTTATACCAGCCTGACTCCATCACCCTTGTTGCTCTATGTCCCAAAGTAACTCAAAATGGGGCCACACATGCCACAGCTGACTTATATACTTACAAGTCGAGTTTTACTGAATATTCTGGTTATATGTCTGTCTGTTTTAATGAGGGGCATGGGCCATGAGGCTCTGGACATAAGAGGACCACTTGTGGTTCTCTCCTTCCACAATGTGGAAGGATTGAACTCAGGCCATCAGGCATCAGGTTTGGTAGGCAACAAGTGCCTTAACACGCTGAGCCATCTTGCAGGCTTCCAGAATAGAGGTCTTTTACTTAATGACTTCAGTAAAAAAAGAAACTTAAGACACAACAGTAGCAGAAATTTATAAATTATCCAAAGGGAGGTCAATTTAAATAAAAAATGACTTACATTTAAACATTCATTTCTTTAAATTCAATTTTAAAACTGGAAGTGAATTTGTTTTTTGCTTAAAACAGTCTATGGACTTGTAGGTATTTCTGTTTGAGGTGTTCATAATACAATGTCAACACGTACTGGTAAGAGGAATTAAAGAGCCACCTATTTTGTCTAAGGGGCTGATCTAAAGTTAGGAGGGGAGTGATGGACACAAGATGGGACATAGAGATTTTGTGACAAATGACAGAATTAGGAACATGCTCGCTGCTCCTTATCTTTACATTCAGATGAGTAACAAAGAACCGAACTGCTGGGTCATCTATCTACCCAGGGCTTGTTTCATAACACAGACCCTTGAAGAGCCAGGTCCTTTCTGCTCTCTACCACCGGGGAAGGCGCAGGGGATTTAAGTTGGTCTTTCCAAAGAACTCAAATGATAGTAACATATATTATTATGTAAGGAAAAAAATCCCCAAAAATGATATAGTGAGAAAGTCAGAATGTTTTGAGTAACTATCAGTAAGAAGACGACTCACTTCTCTTTCTGGAGAAGCAGCACTCTGAGGGATGCACCTACACCTCTACAGGTGTGACAGGCTGTCCATCGTGGCCAAAATGGCTATTTGGCCATCAGGAAGCTGGTTTGCTAGCTGGGTGAGTGAATAAACCCTTCCCAAGGCTCCAACAGTGGGAGTTCACTGGGGCCCTCCCACACAGGAGTCAGGAGGAAGCCATGCCCTGCTGACAGTGAGTCATTCCCAGACACAAACACCCACAGGCTTTCTAGCTGATGCTGCATTTAAGTTTGTTGTCCTTTCAGCTATTTTCTTTTCCAATGAGATCACAGCATCATCTATGCGTTCCTAAACATGATTGGAATCAGCGATCAAAAGCAAAGTGCCCATCTGAGCTGTTAATTCTTGCGGAGTGCAGTAGCTGAGGATCACTGTCAGAGACACAGAGAGTAAAGGATTCCCAGAACCAGCAGAAAGAGGCCAACCTTTGAGGGTTTCCACCTGCTGGTAAAAGCTCTCTCAAACAGATAATACATAGCCCCTGCAACCCCAAACATGGCTGCTTCAAAAGGATGAGAGCTCAGCAGAGAAGCTGTTTGTATGGTAGAGAAAAGTGGTCGGAAAGGCGTCCTTGGCCATACACTGGTTATCCTAGGAACCTGAACAATGGAAGGGAAAAAGAAAACAGCAGGGAAAGAAAAGGAGAAAATGCTGAACATGTGACCTACAAACAGCAATTACAGACTGTGAAAGAAAAACAAAACAAAGCAAAACAAAAAGCAACGTGTGGATGGCAATGGTCCATGCTGACATCCCATTCATTTTTGTAAGTCAGGAATCAACCACTAAGCCATGCCCTGAAGGTCACTCAGCAGAGACACTCAGGGCTGTAAGCACTGTGATTTTCCCAAACCAGACTGGTTGAGATGAAGGGTGGAGTTCCTGGCTCCCGAGCCTACAGTCCACCTGACCCGGTCCTGGGAAGGAAGGCCCTTAAAGACAACCGCTTTTCACTTGAATGGGCAATCAGCATCAGTAATTTGACCAAACAATGAAAAAGTATTTAAACATAGTAGTAAGATAAAATTAACAACAGCAAAATCATTCCTGCCATTTTCTTCTTTTCTATAGTGCAGTTAAAGTGTTCCATGACTATGCTTTTAAGAACATCATTTACTGAACTAGAGGACGTCACTGTCAGTGATTTCCACAAATTGACCAAGCTACTTGTAAGGGAGAAAAGCCACTGTGTGGAGGAGTCTTCTCTCAGCTGGTGCCCCTGTGCACTTGAAGGAGCTGCCCCCATGACCTCCTTCCCTGTCCTTTAACCTTCACTATCTGTGTGGGCCAGGGCCCCTGTCCCACTGCCTGTTCCCAAGAACGTCCCTTCTCAGTGAGTGCAATTAGTTTTCGTTTTTTTTTTTTTTTTTCCCCTCCTCCTCCACAAGGAGCTCACAGTCTGACCAAGTATACATCATAGTTAACCTTCACCAGCAAGCAGTCTTTGTGTGCCCTGCATGTGGCTGACCTCAAGGGTGACCTTCCACTTCTGATCTTCTTTGCTTTAGTGTCCCAAGTGGTGTACACATTAAAGGTATGCACCACCACAGCTAGCTGTGTATTTTGGTAAAGTAAAAATTTGTCCATACTAGCTAACAGGTTTTCAATTTTTAAATCTGAGCTTATTTTGCTGAGTTGCTTTACTGCTGGTAGGCCATTAACAAAGCTCCATTTCACCAAGGAGTAGTTTTTGTTTTTTTGCTGATTTTTCAAGACAAGGTTTCTCTGTAGCTTTGGAGCCTGTCCTGGAACTTGCTCTGTAGACCAGACTAGCCTCGAACTCACAGAGATTTGCCCATGCTGGGATTAAAGGCATGCGCCACCACTGCCCAGCCAGTCTCTGTCTTTGAAACAGGTTCTTATTCTGTAGCCCAGGTTGGTCTGGAACTCACTATGCCTCTCAGGCTGGCCTCGAACTTGTGGTGACCTTGTAAATATTAGCATTACCAAGCACACCACTACGTCAGACAAGAGCAGTGGCTCAGTGACTATGTAGGAATTAGAAAAATCTCACCAAAAAGTGGCCATTATCCCATTTTGGAATAGAGGTGACATGGAATGCCATATTCTTAAGCTCTGCTCACACAGTGGTCTATACTGACCACTGTGTCCCCTCCTCGAAGGAAGGACACCTGTTTGTTGCCTCATTTGAAACTCGTAGGACTCCTCACAGGTAAAGATGGAGCTGCAAGCATGTTCATGTGACTTTTATTCCTGAGTATGTGAAAGAAAACATTAGCTATTAGAGCAGTGGTTCTCTACCTTTCTAATGTATTCCTCTT